ACATAGTTTAGCTAATGGAAAAAAATGGGCAGCTTTGTGTACTAATATGGTCAAAGAAGCCTTTGAAAGGCTTCTTCCCTTCATGCTAGAATAGATGGTGAGTGTGAAGCCAAGCAGCTGCTGCCGAGGCCTCCAGTAGTCAATTTAGAAAAGTCAAGGATGTGTCAAAATAAATATACTATTCAGTGTGTTAATAAAAGAGAGCTGCTGTGTACTTTATCCCACGTGTGGCCATTTGGCCTCAGGCACCGTGTATTTCTAGTGGTACTGTATGCTTTTCATTCACTCTGTTGTATATTTCGGTACATTTGCTTTCTTTTTTTCTTTAGAAAAGAGTGATTATTGTTAAAGTGGAATACATGTTATGACTAGTATTGTTTGACAGTTTGTCCAGTTAATTGTAGTCTGTTGGCTTTCAAGAGCAAAAAGCAGTGATGTGGACAAGTATCTAGTGCTTCGGATTTGTCAGAGTAGCAGTTCGTTATAAACGCAGTCTGCCTTGAGACAAAATTTTAAAAACCAATTTGTTTAAAAGTTAAATTATATCTTATGTTACTGCTTGTGTTAATTATATCTCTTTTAGAGGTTTGCTCCTTTTGTTGTTGTTAGAATCGGCACATCTTAAAGGAGTTATTTGGTGCTTAAGAATAAAAATGATAGAAGGCGACAAATTTTTCTGGTGGTTGGAAAAAGTTGCTGACATCCGTAATTTAAAAAAAAAATAAAAAAATAAAAATACAGCTGCTGGATAGAGGAAACCCATATGAACCAAAAGTGCCAAAAATGGGACAGTGATGCTATCGGGCCCTATTTAGGTTGACCAAAGACATTGCTATAGGAAATGCCCTCACTTTCTCCTTTGGAAGAAATAACTAGTTTGTTTCCTCGGCTCGCTGAGAATAGCGACCCACAATCTTCGATTACCGCTAAGGACGTGACCTGACCAGACTAAATTTAAAAATGCTTCACACTGAACTTGATGCATTCAGTCTGTGTGGAGCATTTGACTTATAGGAAATCACTGGAAAAGGTCAAGTGAACAGGGTTATAATCTGCTGGGCTATTGGTCACCACGACAAGACGTCCAGACATTTCTGCAGTTCAGCACAACCTCTGTGGTTTATGATGCTGAGCCTCACACCACAGTGTAGGGACAGTGTAGAGATATTTTTGTGGTATGCTGACGACAGCATACTTGCGGATATCTGGACATCTCTTTTTTTATTTCCCAGACAGCAGATATGTCCCTTGTGCACTTGATTTCCTTGTTGAAGATAAACCATCGGGTTAGCGAGCACACTCTGCAACTTTCTTCTCTCTTTGTCACGTTTAACATGATTATTATACTTGTACATGTGTTCCAGGTTGTTCTGGTTTTTTTGGGAGGGGTTTCCTAGTGAGTTTTGATGTTTGTTTTTCTTTTAAAATCTTACCTTATGTTTTACTTTGAGGCTTTAGCAACAACCTTAGCATCTGTCAGCCTTGGCTGAAAGCAGAGAGGCACATGTTTCAAGCACAGTTCAGTCTGGTCACAGGTCAAAGTACAGTCTGAGTGAGATGACTGAAGGGCTCTGGTCTTAACCTCCTAAGACCCGAACTCTTTCATGGCATGCATTTTTAATTTCTCTTTGATATTGGGGCTGACTGGGACCTGATGAATGTTAAAAACAAAGAATTACCTGATTTTATTTTTATTTTTTTAATTTTTATTATTTTTCTGTTTTTACCTGATTTTTACTCCTGAGAAAAATGAGATCCACATATGAAGACATTCGTTTGAAATTTTGATTGAACAGTGTCAGTATAATGTCCTCGTAAGTCGATATCAGGCTTTTGTAGAGCAAAGTATTTTGGTCCAGGCAACCCCAAATGTGATGTCCACATATGTGGACACTAGGGGCCTGTTCTTCGTACGTCGCTTACTACATCCAAGATCAAATGACACATCCAAGACCAAACCATCGCGCTAACCGTGAGCTCGCTAATCCGGTTCCCCGAACACGCCTGCTGTTGACGATTAGTACAGCTGGACGCAGTAATGTGACATCACTGGGTGTCGTAAAAGGGGCTACGCATCGATAGTAGAAACATTGATCGGCAACCCGCTGATTGGTCGGCGAAAATGTCGAAGGGGCGTGCTCGGTATTTTCTGGCAGCAGAGCAAGAACTCATGAGTGAGGGATTTCAGGAGTTTCAGAGTTTAATTAAAACGCAAGGGAACACTGCAAAGGCTGCAGAAGCAAGGAGAGAGGGCTGGCAGAAAGTTGCTGACAAATCAAACTCGTAGGTAATTTAATAATAATACTGATAATAATGGATTGGGTTCATATAGCGCTTTCCAAGGCACCCAAAGCGCTTTACGATACCACTATTCATTCACTCCCACATTCACACACTGGTGGAGGCAGCTACGGTTGTAGCCAGGCTGCCATATCGCGCCATCGGCCCCTCTGGCCAACACCAGTAGGCGGTAGGGTAGATCTATCATATGACACTATATTGTCCAATATCATATGGCATTATATTATATTATAATATGTTATATTATATCCCCTTTCACATTAGAGCCACAACAGGACCCACAAGAACATGGGAACAAGTAAAAGTGGAATACAGGAGTATTCTACAGAATGGTAATATTTATCTCTTAGATTGCTTTTCGTCTCTTGGCAAGGTAATACTGGCCTGTAATACTCTGTTAGTTTGTTCATAACAGCAACCAAGAAAAGGGCAGAGGAAAAAAAGACAGGTGTGGTCCTGCACCCCCTCGTCAACAAGTTGGTTAAGTAAATAATACCCTCACGGGAATATCGATATCTCTCAATGAGCACACTGTCGCGCTGAGCTAAAGGATCCTGTCTGTCCCGCAATATACGCTGAATTCTGAGGACTCTCCTTATCAATCTTGCACCTTCCGCAATGGGTTGGTCGCGTATACGGACAGGACATGGCTGCGACAGGCTTCCCAAATCCACCTTCGCTTTTATAGCCGTGGTCTCTCATCTTGATTACACGAAGTAATTTACAATTACTACTCTGAAATATGAATTACATCTGTAATAATCACATACATGTGATAGAATGTTAATAGTTCATTTCCCTTTTTTAGGAAATGACCTGTATGTATCTGTGTGACATCAATAAAAGGATCAAGTGCTGCATTATCTTTAGTTACATTGATGTTATTTATTTATGGTGAAACAGTGGTGGAATATCGCTGTTGCTTTCGTATAAATGAAGCGGACATACCTGCGTGGCCGCGATCTAATCCTGTTTACATAAAGTAAACCTGCTCCCGAGCAGGTTTACGCTTACGGCTCTGTTGCTATGACAGCAAGTCCCGGATGAGCTTCGGGGAACCGAACGATCCGGGATCACGCGAAATCGTCAACAATCTAATCCAGCTAACTTACTTAGCGAGGTACGAAGAACAGGCCCCAGGTCCTAGGAGGTTAAACAAGACTAAAGATTTCAACTTTGAAAGTTTAGCTGTTACAGATTGTCCCTCAGAGTCAGAGTTTTAACATCACAATGGCACTTGAGGAAGTGTTGGGGAATTTCCAATGTCATCAGGTTTTATCTTGTCATGATTATTAAAATTTGGACAATAAATCTGTCAGTTGGATATTTTTGTCAGAACCAAAGTAGTCAAACAGCAACCTAAAATATACTGTATCTGGTATTTGGGGGGAGGGGTTACTTAAATGATCCCAGATTTGTATTTATTTATTTATTTATTTTTTTAAATAATCTTCCTCTTGTAAAACTTTCATTGATATGCTGAGACGGTCGTCAGCAATGCTGCTCGTTTGGGACAGCTGAACTCTGTGTATTTTTATCTGTGATAGACAGGCAGGGCAGATAGTTGAACAGGATTGTGCACATTTCCTACGTTACTGTGGAAACTTACAGCTGCTACAGACCAAACCAAATGTGTAGCTTGTACTGCAGCAGCCAGAAAGTAGAGTCACGTGATTGGATCATCAGGAAGATTGAAGCATTGTATATTCCAGTTTGACATAGTCTCTAAATGTTTTAAATCTCCCCCATCATTAGGTCAGTATGCAGACTGATTTGTACAGCAGCTCAGGGATTACTAAAAGGCCTGCTTTAGCTTTCCCCCCTTCACTGACCAAACCAGTCTCTAAAGACCAGAAGGTATCACACACTGCTCGCCACGGTCATTGTAAACACTCCCTTCTAATTACTACTCGTTAGATCTTCAGAGAAAAGCCAATCCTGAATAGGAGGAATTGGACACGAGAAGACCTGAATTTGCTAATCCAGTCAAATTATCTCCCCCCTTTCAAGTGTCACACTCTCATTGCAGGGCTCTATTGAGTAAATGATATAACCGAGTCTTTTGGGGGCAGAGGACATTGTACTTTCCTTTCAAAAATCATGACCCTACCTCATTAAACATTAGCAGAATCAGAGGTTCATGTTGTAGTACAGTACAATTGTGGCTGGAAGCTTGCTGTGGTTTAATTGAAGAGAACAGAAATTATCAGTCTTTGTTTTTAGCACTTTTCAAATTGTCTTAATTGTGTTTTATTCTTTTTGAAAAGCCAGTTTAACTATGCAGCACAGTGGGGTGGTGGCTAGCTCTGTTGCCTCACAGTAAGACGGTCCTGAGTTTCCTAAGCTATACTGAGTTTGACTCCACCATCTGGCCAAGATCTTTCTCTGTGGCATGCACTCTAACTGGGTACTCTGGCTTCCTCCTTCAGTCCAAAAACAGTAAGCCACTTTTATGCAGTTAGTTGGGTCAGGTTAATTGGTGATTCTAAATTGCCCACAAAAAATTGAATTGAATGTGAGTGGAAATGGTTGTTTGCCTCTCTGTGTTATCCCTGTGTCAGATTGGCAATCTGTCCAATGATAGCTGGGATAGGATAAGGATAAGTGGAAGAGAATGGATGGATGGACAGTTTAACTAATGTGGTCAATACGTCACTCTAATTTGGTCAAGACTCACTGTCCCCTCTTTGTGTCTACAGTGCTCTCTGACGGAGACCAAACTCTGAGGTGGAGGAGGCTGTAAAGAGGTCCTGAAGGAGCCTCCCCCCCTCCCTGCCTGACCAGTTAGACATTGGATCGCCATGCCTCCTCGGAAGCGTGGTGGGGGTAGCGGTGGTGGCGGCGGTGGTGGCGGCGGTCGCAGCGGCTTCTCCGCCATCTTCTGTTGTTTTAACAACAGAGACCATCCAGAGATCACCTACAAACTGCGGGATGACTTTGCTCTGCAGTCCATGGAGCCATCACTGCCCATGCCGGGAAATGATGAGCTGGATAGCATGTTCGCCGAGTTGGTGGTAAGACACTGTTCCATTTAGTTTTTTGTTTTTTGCACATCTAAACACTTACAGAAATCAGTAGGTAATCCTGATGTGTCTTATTCAGGATTACTTACTGGAACTTTTATTGTCATGAAAGTATTAAAAATAAAGGTTTCTAGCAAGTTTGAATTCCAGCGCTTCTTTAAAATAAAAGGCCAGTACTTAGCACTGTATCACTGGGCCACCTTGGGATAATTATGACCTTTAAAAACCACCCTATCATACAAATCAAGACAATTTACAATGAAATACTTGAAATATTTTCCAAACTGACTTAAGTGGATGTTTTAAATTGGCTCTAAAATATATTCTTACTACATTGTTTACCCTGTCTGTTACATTTTAAGGCATTCCCAAATAAACTGCCACTTCCTCCCAGTTTAAACTTACACTAACTTGTGAATAACAGGGCCAGACTGCCTTTTTTCCCTGTCTTATTGTCACTTCTAATTTGTCGTGCCCTCCTCTCGCTCTCTCTTCTGGCCCCGTTTCCTCTCTCATGGTTGCCACAGTAATCTAAGCATGACATTTTTGCACATCAATAGGCCTTATTCAGGAGCTCTTAATGCCTCGGCCTCCTCCATCTGCTAATTGCTTGTTTTTGTCTACCACTCTTTATGAAGACATAATTGAGTACGTTGAGTGTAACGACAAAGAGGCTTTCAGTTGCTCTGTTTACTAGAAGAAAACAGCCACGTGCTTTTCTTTTCACCCAGTATGAGCCACCATGTGCTTGTATAATCAGAATGGGTTTGCTGGGGGGAAAAAAAGACTCATGTTGGGGAAACAGATTTTGAACATCTGCTCTGTTACGATCAGTTAAACTCGACCTTTGAATTTGAAATTTACTCAGACAGTCAGGTGAAGCTACTTTTCCTATCATGCGTTCATACCCAACATAAAACACATACATGCTTTTTATGATTTAGGGAGTAATTGAGTCATTTCCCCAAACACACGTGGCCCTTTTACTGAGGATGTCAATAGGGACTTGATCATTGCACATATTGATTCACCAGGCCTACATTCTTTAGCAAATGAAACCCCCAAAGGCACGTCCCATGATGACTAGTTGTCATTAAAATATTTTGCAATTATTCTGTTGGGTAAACTGCGTTAACATAATCTCTATTTCTCTATAACTTCCACTGCCTCTTTCACATATAGTCATTCAGCTACAGTTCAGCACAAAAAGCCCATAAATCCCTCAGATAAGTTACAGATCTTGCTGATAATGTCTCAGTCAGTTTTTTTTTCCTGGTATTTAGTCAAACGCTTCCCAAAAGCACCCTTTACGCGCCTCTGTGAAATGTCTTTTATGCGTTGTGACACATGTTGTTTCCAGATGTTTGTTACCACATGTTGAGCAGGCAAACCACACCTTGTCTTTTCCCCATTACTCACACATCTAAAGCCGGGAAGACATCTGATTTGTTTCAAAATCGCACTGAATATATGATGAGACCATCCAGTGATACTATGAAGAGATTGAGCTAAAAACAGCTAACAGAGCTGCTCTTCACTTATGTTTTGTTTGGTTTGATGTCAGTTGTTTGTAAATTTGCAGGATGATGGTTTTGAGAAAGATGCTCGATATTTTAACACTCGAGTTATCAATACGGGTTTCATAATCTAACGTTCAGCGATTTGTTACTGTGACTCAGCACCAACATTTCTTAACCTTTTTCTTCTTTTTCATCTTCATTTTGCAGGATGAGCTTGATCTTACAGAGAAACACAGGGAAGCCATGTTCGCACTGCCTGCAGAGAAGAAATGGCAAATCTACTGCAGCAAAAAGAAGGTAAACAGATCTCTGTTGGCTGCATAGCACATTACACCGTATCAGCCTTCATAGACTCGCTGCTGTCTGCCTTTTTTTTTTTTTTGGGGGGGGGGCTACAAATATCCCAGTAGCCAATTTTATGTAATCTCCTCCCTCATTGATTTGTTGATCCCTTGAGCTGTGTGTTTTCTGAGTCTTTTATCGCTGGATCCCTATGCTTACTGCAGACCATTTTATTTTGATGTAGTGAATATGTCACTGCTTACAGTAATATTCAGGACAGCATTGTGAACCACCTTTTGCTAATTTAATAGTGTGCCTCCTTAGGAATTCAACTTGACAGATAATTAAAATATAAAGGGTAGCTGAAAGGGTGTGTTAATGGAAACTAGCAGTTAAAGTTGACGTACGTCTGTACTGGTTTTAATCTCTCACAAAAGAGGGAAGTGGCTAAATAACATGAGGGAAGTTTGATACTACGCCAGTGCAGTATATTTAAGGCTTCTGCCAGAAACCGGTTAGTCTGCAGTGTTCTCATCTAAATTATCAAACCATTCCTGTAATGTAGAGGCTTCGGTACTATGCCTTCCCCACAGTACTGAAGTAGTTCTGGTATCTGCAATATTTTGCTTTAAGAAATAAGTAACTTACATTTCAGACTTTATTAGGATCAAAACTTGGGCTCATTTTCATTGCATCTGCCTACTGTTTGTATAGCCAATTAATGTATTGCTTATGCAAGCCATTATCAGTCAAACAGATAGCTAAACATTTCAAACAAAGCACATCATTCCCATTCCACAAAGTGCTTGTAATATCCCAGCATTAATCCCCTGTTCTGTTATACATCTCTTGAGTTACAGTCACTTTCTCCCTCTCTACAAAGTAAATCTTTTCTACTTAAAAAGAGCTCCTTTGTGAATAACTTCCTTGAGCGGATGCTACATGAGGTGCATATAAAAATAGTGCGTAGAGGGAGTAAAGCGAAAGCTAAATCTGGCCTCCTACATTAGATAATCCACTAACAGGGAAGGTACTGTCAGAAATGATGAAGTTCTGAAGATTTCAAAGGTCCTATTTTTTTCCCTTTAAATTTTGACAGCGCATTTCCTCCCACACAGCGTGGTTTTTCTCTTCTTCTCTTCCTGCCTGATTCAAAAATGAAGAAAACTTGGCATATTTTTGATTTAATTTTTTTTTTAAATTCTCTTTTAGGTAACACACCTATCCCATCAAAGCATTCATGTAGACACAACATATACTCTACTACTCTGTGATAGTGTCGTGTTTCATTATGGCCTTCCGGATAAAAGGAACGTCAGCTGTTTCTCCACATAATAACAACTCATCCTCAGTATGCAGGAAAATGCAGACGCCTGTTCTGGTTTAGCTCAGTGCAAGTTCAGCTACCTCTTAATGTGCCCACACATATTTACAGCAGTGTTTCAAGGCCAAAGGTATGAGGGTGTAGGATATCCTGTCCTGACTAGTATGCAGACGGGCCATGCAGATTTATTAATCTTTTCCTACATCTGGTAACAAACTGGATGGTGAGGAGTACTGGGATTTAGCCAGATGGATTGGATATTTAGATTGTGTGTGTGTGTGTGTGTGTGTGTGTGCGTGCGTGCGTGTGTGTGTGTGTGTACTATATAAATCCCCAGATAAAACAGCTGCAGAAAGGCATAGATGTTATTAGGCCAGAACAGCAGAGCAACAAAAAAAAATCACCGTTGTTTGAAATGTCAGTTTTCTTCCTGAATGTAAATGCTTTTGCTTTAGCCAGCCCAGAGAGTTTAAATATGCATGAAACAAATGTAGCTCTTGGCAATGAATTGAATAGGTGCGTTTCCCAAAATGTCAAATTACTCCTTGTAAAGATTTGTGTTTGAGCCAAAAGTGTGTATTCATGTTGATGGATAATTTCTTTGCAGAAATGGTACGTTTCCAGCACAGTTAAGTTACTGGATATGACGAGAAGCTCGAGGAGCCACGTCAAATTTTCCTCTTTCACTGGACACATACTTTAAGTATAGGTACACTTATGGCTTACTTTAGCTGCAGACAGCATCAACTAGTCAGTCACAACAAGGCAAGTGATGGAGAGTGCTGCATGCTCCTGCATCTACTGTGCCCCAGTTAGTGGCCTTATTTCAGTAGCATCACAGTGCACCTTAAAAATAAACCTCAGAATCGTTGCTTTACTTCTTTTGTGTTAAAGGGAAGTTGGGGGAGGATTTAGGTGAGTCAACCCTTTTTAAATGCAATGTGGACCTACAGAATAAGGGTGAGGGAGGAGAGACAGAACAGACATCAATATTGCTGACTCTGCAGCAAACTTTGGCTCCAACTCAGATAAAAACTCACCATCAGAGATTCAGAGAGGAAGGGTGTGTGTGTGCGTGCGTGCGTGTGTGTGTGTGTGCGTGCGTGCGTGCGTGCGTGCGTGCGTGCGTGTGTGTGTGTGTGTGTGTGTGTGCGTGCGTGCGCATGCAGAGAAAAGAGGAAGCACTTAGTTGTCCAAAGCAAACAGGAAGGCTTCACTTCCACAGGTGCTTCTTTTGTTTGTGAGCAGCGGGTGGGTGAGTGAGGGGGTGATAAGGAGGAAGATGGGTCATTATCGGGGCACTCAAAGCCCAAGTGATGAGGGTGCTCTTTTTCCACCAGTTGCTTCTTGGCTTCAGAAGTCAAGCTGGATGTGGAGGAGATAAGTCATTCAAAGCTTTAGCTGTTTAGTTTGGCCAGACACCTGAGCTGATGAAATCATGCTGTAGAGAATCAATCTGCTTCCTGTCTCTTGTCTTTTGTCCATTTTCTTCAAGGCTACATCATCTGCCAAGAAGATGATTTACTGATCTGGTTGTCAGCAAAGATTTTTTTTTTTTTTGTTGGGTTTCAGATTTTAACGTGAGGAAAAAAGAAAAGTTTAACTTCTAACTTCTTGAGTTCTGAAACGGGCTAACTATTAAATGCACAGTTTAAGATTTCGTAATGTGTCTCTGACCTTTATTTTTTTCAAATGTGAAAAAAAAACAAACCCCTCAAAATACACTCCTAGCCTGTCATCATAACTCTAAATAAACTGTGGGTATTTTATATTTTGAAGACCGCTGACTTAGAAGTTAAAGGAGTAACTCTTTAAAATGTAAAAGTGGTCCCACCTCTGCGTCTCCTTCGCCTCTTCAAACTGACTGGACATTTTCCAGGACCCATCTGGTCAAGCTGGCACTGGTCTTGAGTGGAACAGCAGGATCAGTCCTTCCTGTCACAGCACAAACCTTGCAGACCAGCCAAGGCCCACAGTTTCGACCAAGAGCGGCCAAATCTCTACAGGCTCGCTTTATTAACCGACGCCCAATTAGTTTCTGATGGTCACAGTTCACTTGTGCCTAATGGAGCATGAGGTAAACTGAAAGCCAAGAAAGCTTTTATGTACATGCCAAGGTTAGCTTCAAGTCACTTTAACCTCAGTGCTTTAGTAGTCTTTTTAAGTCAAATATGAAATCATCTCAGAAGTGCCTAGCAAGTTTTTTGTTTTTTGTTTCCCTCCCCCTCCTTTAAACTTGCAATGCAAACGTGCCCGTGAGCAAGATTAATCTCACCATAAGTCAGGCCATGTCCTTAATCCACGGTTTAAACATGCATTTGCTAATCTCACGATTTTCTCAAGCAGCTGTGCACTCGTGTTTTGGCATTTTTCACCACCTCCTGAAACTTAGTGAAGCTCTGGAGGATAAAATAGCTTGAATATCTGTGTCGCCCTACTTTGAGCTCTCGATTCGTTTTTGGCTGGTGGCTATTTAAGCTCCAGTCCGTCTGTTCCCTGTCCATTTGTCTGTGTTTGTGTGCATCGTGTCTTTCAAAGCCAATCAATCTGAAAAGTGACGGAAAGAGGGGGGAAAAAAATAATTTGCTTTGAAGTTAGACTTCAGGGTATTTGAACATGTGACATGAACCAAATAACTTTTCTTCTCATGTGAAATATGTCCTTCCAAACCACATTCTTATGTAACTTTGAAAAATGAAAATCATACCCAGTTAATATTTATGAGCTAATGCCTCATGTTTTCCTTCATTTTAATTTTCTTGTCTACTTTAATGACAGTGAAATGTATTTCATTTTTCTGTTTTTCAGGAACAAGAAGAAAACAAAAGTGCAACTAGCTGGCCAGAATATTACATTGATCAGCTCAATTCAATGGCAGCTGTAAGTAGTAACATGAGCGAGATGTCTTTTTTTAAAATTTACTAAATGGTCTTTTCTTTTATGTAATGTAGTGATGAGACATTTTGCACGTTTGTGGTGCTGAAATATCACAACCAGATTTTTACACTTTTTTTTTTTCCTTATTGAAATTTGTTTTGTTTTTTGTGACCTGTTTATCATTAAGAAAATTAACTTTATTTTGGCCTCAGATCTTTATGATGTTCAATCTTTTGCTGAACAGAGAAAGACGCTCCTCGCTCTGGAGAAAGAGGATGAGGAGGAGAGGAACAAAACTATAGAGAACTTGAAGACGGCTCTGAGAACCCAACCTATGAGGTGACCAATAAGTTTAGAACAGCAAATAAATACACTCACATCCACATTAAAAACTATGGCAGATCCTAGGGATGAAAAACAAATGAACACATTAAATTATAACAGCTTGTGGTATAGAGCCTCAGCTTTAAGGCTACATGACTATCAGGTAAGTATCTGATGTTGCACTCTACCAAGACGCAGTAAATAAACTGGAGGTCTGTAGCGTGCAAGCTGATAACTGTTGATATATTTTTCTTTTTCATGTGCCCAGATAGTTTATGTATCTAAACTCAGCCCCCCCCCCCCCCCCCCCTTTTTTTAAATGTCACCTGTCATCATATCTCCTGTTATTAACCTCCATCGCTGCATCTGTCGCTCTTTTCAGCTCCTCATACTCGTATGGAAATGCACCCTTTAAAAATTGAACACCTGTAAAGGTTTTTCATTGATATAAAAGAACATTAAAGGAGACCCTCTCATTTTCAACACTTACTGAATATGAATTCATTGTACTGCAAGAATACACAAGGACACAAGGAACATTCACTGCAGTTTTAACCCAAAAACTTGGGTATTATCGATGCACTATACTTCTATGGTATAGTTAGTATTTCCTTAAGCGCTAAGATCATCTCTGTAAACCGCAATGACGTCTCTGTTCAGGTTTGTGACTCGATTTATTGATCTGGATGGCCTGACGTGTATCCTGAACTTCCTGAAAAGCATGGACTATGACACCACAGAATCACAGATCCACACGTCTCTCATCGGCTGCATCAAAGCTCTGATGAACAACTCGCAGGGCCGCGCCCACGTCCTCGCTCACTCCGAGAGCATCAACATCATCGCCCAGAGCCTGGCCACAGAAAACATTAAGACAAAGGTGGCGGTCTTGGAGATCATGGGTGCTGTATGTCTGGTGCCTGGCGGGCACAAAAAAATCCTGGAGTCAATGCTGCATTACCAGCGTTTCGCCTGCGAGAGGACACGCTTCCAGGTGGGTGGGAGGCGTAAAGCAATTTAAAAGCAACATTGCTTGAAAGTATTAATCATCTGTAATGGATTTTCATCTCTCAGACACTTGTAAATGATCTGGACCGGAGTACAGGGCGGTACAGAGATGAGGTCAGCTTGAAAACAGCCATCATGTCCTTTATTAATGCTGTGCTGAGTCAAGGAGCTGAAGAGGTAATATATACTGTTTTCATGCATCTTTTCACACAGGAGTCACTTATTCAAGAGGCTCTTTAAAGCACTGCTTGCATCAGTATCTTACTGCTGTTTTTCCCCCCGTTTTAGACTAGTTTGGAATTCCGTATTCACCTCCGATATGAATTTCTTATGCTGGGGATCCAACCTGTGATCGATAAGCTACATTCTCATGAAAATGCCACGTTAGACAGGTGAGGTGCAACTTCACTTTAAAACATAATCTCTTCCAAAGTGGTGTCTGTAAACATTTACAGATCAGTCGAACAGCTAAAGAAGTACACAAGCACACATACTGTGAGTCAAAACCTCGGCTTTAAACTCTACACATTATCCTGGAACTCTACCCCCAACAACAACAACACAGTAGATTTCAAAGTCTTTCCAACTAATGCGTGTCAACATTAATACTCTGATCTTTCTAAGCTGCAAGTGTGCGAGTTCATCACTTAATTCTCTGTGACACTTTCAGGCATTTAGACTACTTTGAGATGCTGCGGAATGATGATGAGCTGGCTGTGTCAAAACGTTTTGAGTCGGTAAGGAAAAGAAACATCTCTCCCTTACTCATCATGTGAGGAACAAATGTTTATTCATTTGGGGTTTTTTTATGCTTCTTATCCAGGTACATGTAGACACCAAAAGTGCCACGCAAGTTTTTGATCTCATCCGGAAGAAGATGAGCCACACTGATGCATATCCGCACTTTATGTCTGTCCTGCATCACTGTCTGCTCATGCCACGTAAGTTTAGTTGTTTGTGACTGGACAAACAGGCTTGATAAATATTATATAATAAGAATGTTGACTTTGTCCTGATTAGTCAGTCCAGAAGGTGGATTAGCACATTCCCAGCCAAACTAAAGCTGTATTCATTCAGACGTTAATATTTAGTTCCGTAACTATTTTCCCTACCTCTCACTTTCAATGGATTTGAAGTGAAAGAGCCACTAAAGACACGACTGCGCGAGGCTTTTTGCTTTAACTCTCACTCCTCTATTCTGTGTTTTTCAGGCATTTTTTTTGAAGAAATGAAAATGGGAGTGAGCCGCAACCAGTGATGTGGTTTCACCCCAGTGTTAGTAATAATCTGCAAACTTAGGAAGGAAAAATAAAACAATTATATATTAAATTTGATGCAGTGCACTTTTAATTTCCACAGTAAAGTATAACAGCAGTACCGCATGTTGTGCACTGTGAGTTTATAAGGCACCAGTTAACATCTTGTCCCCATATGACTGATGAAATTTCACCAATCAGTAAGAAATACATTTGTCATCTTGTTGTAGCCTTTAATTATTTTGCCTCCTTTAGGCTATCTAACCACTGTGGATCCAAGTGTAATCAGTATTTTCTCCGATAACACTGAATGGAAGAAACATGAGTAATGGGAAATTTGCTTTCTTTGCTCTCTTTCTTTCCGTGTCCAGACAAGAGAAGTGGAAACACTGTACAGTACTGGCTGCTATTGGACCGCATCGTCCAGCAGATGGTCTTGCAGAATGATAAAGGTCATGACCCTGACGTCACACCACTGGAGAATTTTAACGTGAAGAATGTTGTCCGGATGTGAGTGCACCGATTTTCCTCTGCACAGACGGACACGTAAACATGGAACGGATTGAAGAATGTAGAACAGGGCTGAAGTAGAAATCCATGTGTTTGACAGCGTTGGTTCAAAAATAGCTCCCCTTTTATGTTCAGAAAAACAATCAGTGAAGTCGTTCGCGGAGACGCTGTAAGTAATTACGTGTGTCATTCTCTCTGCAGGCTGGTCAATGAAAATGAGGTCAAACAGTGGAAGGAGCAGGCAGAGAAAATGAGAAAAGGTGTGTGCGATTATAAATGCAATGGGACAATTTTCTTACCAATGAAAATCACGTTTTAATAAAATCTTGCTTTAATTTCCCCATCACAGAGCACCATGAGCTGCAACAGAAGTTTGAGAAGAAGGAGCGTGAATGTGACGCCAAGACCCAGGAGAAAGAGGACATGATGCAGACTCTCAACAAGATGAAAGAGAAGCTGGAAAAAGAGAGCAACGAGCAGAAAAATGTCAAACAGCAAGTGGCTGAACTCACCGCACGACTGCATGAGCTCAGCACCGTATGTTTCCCTTTAAAGTACTTTGCAATTACAATTACCTTCAAATGAAAACCTTAATGAGTAGGATGATGGACTCTGACAGCCAGCGGCGGTCCAGAATAATCATATGACCTAATCTAAGAAGTTAGGAGTAGTCCTTTAGATATCACAATGTGATCTAAATTTATTAAAACCTCAAAATTAAGCAGTTTAAGTTTTTTTTGTTTTTTTTTCTAGATGAAAAGCAGAAATGAAAAAATGAACCATTTTTAACTTCTGTCTGATTAAAGGTCAGGTTGAAGGGAACACTTCTGTTTATTTTCATATATTTCATATATACTGTTACTGTGGCCCTGAGTTCAAACACATGCAAGCCCACAAATTACAATGGAAATTGAGTAAAACATAAAAGAAATAGAAAATGTTCACAAAAAACCTTATAAAACAAAAGTGTTTTCGGGGTGACAACAATGTGACAGAACAGCTCTCGAGGGGACAAGCTACTGAATGACTAATAGCAATCACCTATCTATGCATGAGTCATGCGATTAAAATGCACATTACCCGCATCTTTTTGTTCCTCACAACGATGAAAACTGTTAAGAAAAAAAACCAGAGCTTCCTGTCATTTCTACAGTTTTTATGTCACATTGTTGTCTCCCTAAAAACATGTCCTTTGTATTTTGTGTGCTTTTGCAGTGTTTTTCTATTTGCTGGCATTTTCATAAGTCCAAGTGCGTTTAACCTCTCACGGCCAACATAGAATGCTGATAAAAGAAGATGACAGCCGATGGTTTTGAGAATCCATTTCAGCTAATGTGCCCCTTTTCTGCTGGACTATAATCAGAATTCAGAAAGCACCCAAGACCAGGAATCTTGTTTCCTGTCTATAGTGACTGCAAGTCTACTGAAATGGCACAAAACTCTCATAAAAACTGTGTTGTTGAAGGCCAAATGTAGGTTTAAGAAACTAATAATACACATCTACCTTACTTGAGAAAGAAACTCATGAAATTAGGAAAACCTTTTGCTTTATGATAACAAAAATTAGACTTTTAGACTGGTATCGTTTTAATTATGAATCAGTGTGGTATGGTTTGTGTTGAAAAAAAGCATAAATTTTTTTTTGTAGTTACAATTCCATTGAATGTGCAGCAATACTCTTTCCATGAGAATTGAACCCCTCTTGTGTTCCCATGTGTCTCTGCAGAGGCAGGCAGCTGTTGTTCCTGGCGGCCCTCCTGTTGCCCCCGGCCCCCCTGGCGGCCCGGTGCCTCAACCAGGCTTTGCAGGAATAGCCCCACCTCCTCCACCACCTCCTGGTGGTATGATGCCTCCTCCGCCACCCCCACCGCCTCCGCCAGGTGGCCCTCCACCTCCCCCTGGGCTCCCGCCCATTGGAGGTATCCCTCCACCACCAGGAGCGCCCCTGGGATCATCGCTGAAGAAGAAGAACATTCCTCAGCCATCCAACCCTCTCAAGTCCTTCAACTGGTCCAAGTTAGCTGAGGTATGAAGAGCAGAGGCACAGGAGGCCTCCAGATATTCCTGCTCTTTGTTAAAATTTGACATATAAGATGTCTTATTTTCCTCTCAGAATAAGCTGGAGGGTACGGTCTGGATGGAGGTGGATGATGCCAAGGTTTTCAAAGTGCTGGATTTAGATGACATTGAAAAAACCTTCTCAGCCTATCAGAGGCAGCAGGTACTGAGAATGATGTAGTTCACCTTTCAGTCTCACCACATGTTGCTATGTTGTCTATCATTAGATAAGGCCAAGGGTAGATATGTGGGTTTGGGGTGGGCAGAGGGTTCAGTTTGCTTGCAGTTTTTTTTGGGATTTAGACTTGGCTGCTGTTCAGTTCCTTGGATTTTTTTTACTAAATTTATTATTTATTTTTTTTACTGTTGTACAACTTTTCTTTCCTAAGCACAGTTTGGTCATGGGGAAGAGGTCAGATCAATAAAAACAGGAGAAAGGAGATATTTTGAGATACACTTGGCAGTTAATTAGATTCCAGACTTTCATGCTTGAATGATTTTAAACTCCTCACATTTCGAATGGAACGTTTTTTCTTTTTTTTCCTAATGGTTTAGATCATTCTGCCATATGTGATTGAAAATGCATGAGTGCGCTGCTCACAATCAGCTGTTCCTTTTTTCTTTCAGTTTGCAACTGATGTAGTTTCTAGAAATTCATAATCGGTAGTTTCTGGATTAGAAGGGCATGTCTTTTTAAAGATGAAACTGCAGACAGCCCAGTATATAAAATGTGATCTAACGCATGTTGAATCCACACACATTAAAAAAAACAAAACAAAAATGTGCATTTTAGATACTCAGCATCAGCCTGATCAGTTTAATGATTAGTTATGTGCACAGCATGTGAAGAACAAGCATGTAGTGATAATCTGAACAGCCACTTACAGTATGTCTTACTATGCTCACGTCATTGCTGATCCATTGTCATTGAAGTGCTGAATGATTCATTTGTTCTTATGGGCTGCAATCACATAACTGCTTTACTTATTCTAATGAGTGCTTACATCTTCCCTGCTTCTTGCCTGCATTTTAGGACTTCTTAATGATCAATAACAGCAAACAGGTGAGTGCACTTACAGTACAGTAGTTTCTACAGTCGCTCTTTGTTCATATATTTGGCGTCAGCTGTCTTGTCGTGTTTGTGTGTTCTCGTGAATTCCACAGCCACTCTCTCTCCTTTCAAATGTGTTTTAAGCTCTCCTTCGGGATGCTGGCACATGTGTCATCCAGTCCTAATTGTTATGCGTTTGTCTGTGACTGTAACTGAAACAAAATGTGAGCTTCATGCTTTCTAACCTCTTAATCACTGTGCTAACAGAAAGAGGCGGAAGATGACACGCTGGGCTCCAAAAAAGTCAAGGAGCTGTCAGTGATTGATGGCCGTCGAGCTCAAAACTGTAACATCCTGCTCTCACGGTAAGTTCAGTTCAGGATTTTTTTTTTAAAAAATAAAAAAAAACAAAAAAACCCCAGACACAGCAAGATGTTATTATATTCTATCTGTTGTGCACTGCAGACTGAAGCTTTCAAATGATGAGATTAAGAGAGCCATCCTAACCATGGACGAACAGGAGGACCTTCCCAAAGACATGCTGGAGCAGGTACGGCTTTCATGCAAACATAAAACAGCTGTGCTTTCATTAATGCACGTCAGTTTAAATCACAAGTAGTTAAGAAGTGAGCGGCAAACGTCATGCGCCTTGGAGCAAGAGACAGTGGAAGCAGAGATTCAGGCATGTTCACTGACGACAAAAAGCAGAGGTGTCTGAGTATTCGATATAATGAAAAGTCTTTTCCTTGTCCTTTAGTTGCTGAAGTTTGTCCCAGAGAAGAGCGATGTGGATCTCCTCGAGGAGCATAAACATGAGCTCGATCGAATGGCCAAACCCGACCGCTTCCTTTACGAGATGAGCAGGTGAGTTTCTCTTTATGTGCAGCGTATTATTTCACTGTTTACCAGCTGATAACCACAGAGCTGACAGCATCAGGGCAGAGCAGCTCAGATCTGCTGACAAACAATAGTCTTTGTTTCCTCTTGGTCTGAGTAGATAAACCCAGTGACACATGGTTTTCTACTTGACGGGAACAATAGCCGTCTGTGTGAAACACTGTTTTGGAGAAAGTGAGCCGATAATTTAATAACTTTTATTGCAGTTTTGCAAATAAAGTCATGTAAGACAAAAGAAAGGAGTGTGGTCACCAGCAAAGGTCAGGTCGCTGGTGGGTGAGATCCTGCAGCATAGCAACAGCAGAAATGTATGTAAAGGAAGAATCACACAGTCCGTTTTGTCTTGTTTCCTCTAAGAAGTGCCGCTGTAGTTTCCAGTTTGTCGTCTTACAGGCTGGACTGGAAGACGGATGCCACTGTGGTATTCATTAAGTGCACAGACTGTGCTTTATAGGTTTAAATCATAAACACAGCCAAAAATAAGCTTCAGTACCACAACTAAAACTTTGATATGCTTATATAAAACTTATATAGTGTGGCGATTTAAGTGCAATGTTCATGATTGTGGCTTTTGTCTACATTTGTGGATTTCCCTGTTTATAATTTATTATTTGTATCTTTTTCTCCTTTTTCTCTGACACGTTATTTCCATCCTCGGTCCAGAATAAACCATTACCAGCAGAGGCTGCAGTCTTTGTACTTTAAGAAGAAGTTTGCAGAGAGGATAGCTGAGATCAAACCCAAAGTTGAAGGTGGGAAATATGTGCTTTATACAATAAAAATGATATCTCAAATATGATTGCTATGATTTATCCAAAGCAAACATATTTATATCTCCAACTTTGTCCATTTTCCTGCTGCTTTAGCGCTGGGTAAGGCGTCTAAGGAGGTTTTAAACAGCAGAAACCTGAAGCAGCTGTTGGAGGTGGTGCTAGCATTTGGAAACTATATGAACAAAGGTCAAAGGGGCAATGCTTATGGCTTCAAGGTGTCTTCACTCAACAAGATCGCAGATACTAAATCCAGTATCGACAAGTAAGAACATTTTTCAACAGTGGTATTAAAACTTTGCAGGCAGCAGTAGCAAGAATGGCATGCGGTGTATAAAAGTCACATCTGGGAATATTATAGTGATGAAATTTCACCATATTCATATCTGAAAGTCCATCATGAAAGCCCTATATTGCACATTTGACACATTTTGCTGTGTGTTTGCAGAAACATTACTCTGCTGCACTATCTGATCACCATCCTGGAGAAGAAATATCCCAAAGTCCTGAAGTTCCAGGAGGACCTGCAGAGTATCTCAGAGGCAGCCAAAGTCAAGTAAAGGCCGGGAGCAGTGATTCCCAAGTGTTTTCCTAATTTTTGTTTGTAAAATATGCCACCAATTGTGGTTCAATTGTTGGCATATAAAGAGAGTTTCTGTAAAGGGTGAATCATCTGCATGGGGAACCTCATTTTCAGCTACTTCCTTTTTAAGTGAATGGTGATGACCTTTCTTTCTTCCACGCAGTATGACGGAGCTGGAAAAAGATATCGGCAACCTGCGCAGTGGATTAAAAAGTGTAGAGAGCGTAAGTCATGGATATTTATTTGCAAACTCAGCAGAGCTCTTCTTTATGTTCTCTTTCTAATTGCTCCTTTTGATTTCCACTTGCAGGAACTGGAATACCAGAAGAAAGGGCCGCAGGAGCCAGGTGACAAGTTTGTGTCGGTGGTGAGCCAGTTCATCACCGTGGCCAGCTTCAGCTTCACTGATGTCGAGGACTCTCTCATCGAGGCCAAAGAACTGGTGAGTCATTCGGCCTGTGTGGTTTCTCCAGAAAACCCGAGGGTGTGCACGTGCGTTTGAGCAGACCGGACAGTGTCGCAGTCGCCTGCAGACACAGGCGCTGAAAGCTTGCATCCCATTTCCTCTCCATGCAGCTGTTTCTACAAGCCTTACTGACCCCGCCAGGGACCTTTCTAGGAAAGCGACCAGCAGGAGAAGCGTTTCGGCTTCCTGCTGCAGTGCCACCGACACTTTATTGTGCGGCCTGCTTGTCGCCATGTGTGAGGGCCAAGAGTGCAAACAGGAACATAGGCTTTAATATTATTTCACACTGTGGACATCAGATTACACCTGCCAACTTTAAGATGTCACTTTATGTTGTGCAAACAGAATCACAGCATCGAAGCAAACGAAGACAAAGCAAATGTGGATTTTATGGGGACTAAACTCCACTACCAGCAGAAACCTGAACATGTTCACATTTCAAAGGGCCGTTTGACACGCTAACATGGGATTTATGTGTCTGTCTTCCTGAATGGCAGGAAGAGGTGTTTTTTCTTTATTATTTTTATATGTCCCACAGTGTGTGCCACATTGACATGAGGACTCAGCTGGTGACATGGGAACCATTAGTTGCTGTTAATCATTTACAGTATGCCACGGTTAAATATTTGAATGTTTACAGCGGCCTTCTGTACTCACGACTGGGAGCCAGATAACCTCGTGACCCTCTAAGTGGGTCACTGCATCAGCTCTGTGCATATAAACAAAACAAAAGCAGAAAAAGGTGACTGTGAAATAGAGTTTATTGATTGTTGCTGTGAGGAAGTTGAAAAGAAATGTATTCTTTTTTTTTTTCTTTCTAATGGGGGAAAAACAAACTTCAGCATCTTTTCAGCTCATAGTTTCCCTGTCTATGCCATAACTGCTGTTAGCAGTCACATTTTTTGAAGCTGTATCTTCCCAGCATGATCTTGCATCTGGATGTTCTTTATTTTATTTATTTATTTTTTTTTTTTAATTTATTGTGAAAAACACCCAACAAGCACATTGCCTTAATTTGAGCTCTGGCTCCAGTCTCTGACCTCAGCTGCAATCAGTAGCCGGTGAGATCTGGATGAACACGGGCTTCAAAGCCCGACCACTCCTGCCCTGCTCTGGTTTCAAAGAGCTGGGGCCGAATGACTCTCCTGTAAAGCAGTCAAAGATGGAATAAAACGCGGTTCTGCTGCGTCCTGCTGTAAATCTAATCCCGTGTGCCCCCTCCTCTTCTCTTTGGTCCCGCAGTTCCTGAGGGCAGTAAAGCACTTTGGTGAGGATGCCAGTAAGATGCAGCCAGATGAGTTCTTTGGCATCTTCGACCAGTTCCTGCAATCGTTCACAGAGGCTCAGCAGGAGAACGAGAACATACGAAAACGAAAGGAAGAGGAGGAACGCAGGGCCAAAGTAGAAGCTCAGGTATGCGACTGATCTCTCTTTTCATCCCCTGAGATTCTCAGTAGAGCTATAGCTGCTATTAAACACTTATTTAGCACCTTTAATTTATTAAATACTACAATGCCTTCATTTAGCAAAAGTTACACAGTCATAGGAAATATATTTGATCTGTTTTCTGTCCTACGTGAGAAGATAGTATGACTCACATCTGTGCAGCTCATTAGGTCTGATTAGATTAGAGCTGAAAAATGGCTTCCTAACCTTTGATCAAAGGTGCCAGCATCTGCCCACTAACTCCTCTACAGCTCATTGCATTATACAGTGCATTGATATTATATAGTCAAATTGGATGTTATTACGTGACTGCTTCTCTGAGTCATAAATAAATAAAAACCAGGAGGGCTCAGATTCCCGTATCCAAGCAAAGCTAATAATGCTCTTATCCTCTCACCTCTTCAGATATTTAAATGACAGTTTTCATTTGTGTCCCCAGCTACGTGAGCAGAGGGAGAAGGAGCGAAAGGCCCGGAAAGCAAAAGCGAACGGAGAGGAGGATGGCGGTGAGTTTGATGACCTCGTGTCAGCGCTGCGGTCGGGCGAGGTCTTCGATAAGGACTTGTCCAAGATGAAACGTAACCGCAAGCGGATCAACAACCAGAACACAGACTCGGGCAGGGAGCGACCAGTCACAAAGCTGAACTTCTAAATGGGCTCGATCACTCGCAACCCCCTGCTCATCAGCCTCCCTCTGGGGAGAACTGACATCCACATTCCTCTTCACCCTCCTCCACTCCCACCCACCTCGGCTCGGGTGAACCACAGCATTGCGTCATCGCAGCAGGGCCACACACAGCACAACATGATTAGACCTCTCATCCTCTAAGATTTTGATAAGAAATAGAGCAGAAGCCAAAGGTTGATACTCTTGGACCAAACAAGAGGGTGGAAAAGAAATGTTTTAAGTCATGCTGGAGAAAGGTTTTCACGGGTGTTTTGACAGGATCCGTTCGGTGCCGTTTTTGTACGTGAATCTATGCACAGAGTGAAATGTGCATCTGGTCGAGTGTTTCCGAGGCTGGAAGCTCGATCAAAGCAAGAGGACTATTCCTCTAAATGGGGCCATTTTGTACAGACTGAGGTGTGCTGCTTTCACCTGCCTGGATTTTCCGAGAGATCATTTCTGGAGACTAGACCTAAGCTTCCTCTTGATGCTGCCGCTCTCTTGCAGTCACAGCCATCACAGGACTGAGAGACTGTGTTGTATAGATGGATGTGGTTTTAATTGCAAGTGACACAGCTGAGGGTTGTTTTGTTTTTTGTTTTTTTTTTGTTTTTTTGTGTATTCACCTTTTTTTGACGTGCATCACATATATATATATAAATCTGATCACTGTATGTTTTTATTTGAACATTTTCCTGTTACGAGCTGGCCTTAACTCTGATTTGATTTTGTTTTGTTTCTTTGTTAAGTGGGTACTCTCAAAGGCCTTGGCCTGATCTGCAATTCTTAACAGGTGTGTGGACACTCGTGTCATACATTGCATACATCTATAGTATACAAGCGTGTGTGCTTGTTACACATGCACATAGGAATTCATAATGCTAAATACCATTGAAACCAACAATTAATGCAATACACTTGTCTTTCCCCTTTGAAGAGAGTGCCCTCCTTAAATGTTTTTTTATTATTTGAATAGATGAAATGTTTGCTCCATGCTGGCTGGATTTACACTGCATCAAATGAAAGGGCAGAAAAAAAAAATCTGCTCCACATGTGATGTTTTCATTCTTGTGGAAAACATCACATGTGGACGTGCGACGTTCCCCCTTCAGCCTTGTGACTCCATCCAGCCGACACCTCCACCGAACTTTTATAATTTAAACTGCCTTCCATTGTACAACGACCTAAAGATAATAAATGGGAGAAAACTACTGATGAGTTTGATTATTTAGTTTTTCAACACATGCACTTTCGCGCAGCATTGACTCTGGTTTTATAAAGTTGTTTATTGCTACTAAAAACCTTGAACAGGAAGTGGAAGCATCTTTTTTATGGCTGAATTTTAAACTCTAGAGGTAACCAGCATTGTGGCTCCATCTAGTGGTCAGTAAATGCAACAACATTTAATGTACACTCCATTTAATGTACACTTCAAATCATCAAAGCAAAAATCCCTTTTTACATTCAGTCATACACGATAACATATTTATGTTTATTATCATATACAATCAAAGTTCACTATCAAGAATATTTTAGTAGATATCTGAATGGCAGTACACTTCCATTTAGCTGTTCTTCAGATTTTATCTTTAGTTATAACCATCCATCCATTTTCTACTGCTTATCTGGGGCAGGGTCTAAGCAAAGCAAAGAAACCCAAACCTTCCTCTCTCTAACCCCTCGTCCAGCTCTCTTGGGGGGATGGTGAGGTGTTACCAAGCCAGATGAAGAGTACCAGTGACTGAGCTCCTCGCAGTCTCTAAGAGTTAGTTATGTACTTTGCTAATCTATTAAATATAATTTAGGACAATTTAAAGAGTCACAAGATGTATAATAGTTTTTGTTTTTCTTAAAACAGGTAAGGAAAACTATTTCTTCATTTACTACTCAGGTAAACCAGGCCAGAAGAAAATAAGGTCTTATTTTCTTCATTACAGATCCAAGTCTTGGCCACCTAAACATTTTCTATTCATAAAATGTGTTTTTGTCTTATTAAAAACCACCATATAACCTCTGTTTTAATTTGCTTTTGTATAGAAAACCTATACGTCTTGCTTACTTCAGCAGGAAACCATGTGTCAGCTTGTCATCTGCCTCCTGCACAAAGCGTGAAACTCCAGTGTAAAAAGCTCTGCCAGCAACTTCCACCACTACAGCCTTGAAGTCTCCACACTTGGTCTCCTGAGCATTAAGACAGAAACACAATAAATGCTTCAGATCATTCTATGATGAGCTGATTCAAAAGAATAATTCAATTCATATTTATTTATATAGCACCAAATCACAACAACAGTCACCTCAAGGCACTTTATATTGTAAGCTAAAGACCCCACAATAGTATAACATCTTGTATGTGAGGCGAAGGATTTTAAATTAACAGGGAGCCAATGTAGAGAAAACAGTCTGGGAGAAATGTGCTTTCTCTGTAGTTACTCTCGCTGCAGCACTTTAGATCAACTGAAGGCTTTTCAGGACATCCTGATAATAACCATCTTGTAGAAGTAGGAAATTAGAGGTCATCCAGGTCCTGCAGTTTTATTAATTGGTATGTTCTCTGGCTTCATGAACAGATAAAGTTGGGTATCATCTGCATAGCAGTGAAAAGCATGCTATGCCTTGAATTAATTTAACACTTGTGTGAAGATTAATCTCCATTTACATGAAGAAACTGTAGTCTCAAAACAAACTGGAGATATGATTCAAACCGCTGCAGTGCAGTACCTTTAATACCTGCAGCATCCTCTAATTACTGTAATAAAATCTTGTGGTCCATTGTCAGAAGCCATAAGATCATTTGTAACCTTCACTAAAGCTGGCTCTGTGTTGTGATGAGGTCTGAAACCTGACTGAAACTAGAATAAACTATTCCTCTGCAGATGATATATGCAATGAGTAATTCTGACAGCAAGTAGTGATTTGTTTGCTGTCAGTCCACACATCAGCGCGCTGTGTTTTGATGTAAGAGAAACCCGGAGCATCTGCTTCATGGTGACTTCACTCTAAGACATTTAAATACAGGATTTCAAATCAGTATTTTAGAAACTGTCAACCTGAGGAGCCAAACAAAGCGATGTTATATTAAATTGCACCAAAATCCTACACTTAGGATTAAGTATTATTAACTGTATTACTGTTTAGAAACAAAACACACAAAACATGTCTTCTTTTTAACTTGGATTAATCCTGTACATTTCAATACATCGTAAATCCACTGCGCCATAACGTCTAAATATTTACTTATTCTTTTGGTCTTTTTACAAAATGCACTTCTTTCTTTTCCCACTCTTTGAACAAGAGGCGATCACCCTCATTCCACAAGAGAACAGAAATCGTGATACCTCAACAGCCTTTCCTGCGAACTGGGACCCAGTGGCTCCACTCTGGAACGTCCTGGTCTGGTTCAGCTGGATGAGACCTTTGTGATACTGAAGAGCTACTCGAGCCGTGACACCAGAACCAGTCGGGCTTCGGTCTACCTGAGAAGCACAATTTAAACCTCCTATTACATGAAGTTAAGGTGACACCAATGAACAAAAGGCAGACCTTTTATTGTCTTTTGTATGATTCCAACACTTGAGCACTTAAAGAGGATTCAAATAATGGAAGTAAGGACAAAGACTTAAGAAGTGACAACAAATAATAAATGTCCCTAAACGTGTTTTCTTGCAATATGTCTTGTTTTTCTTTCATATTTCATCTGAACAGTTGCTGTGTTTGTCCATTTCATTTCTGATAAACTCTGCAGACTGCACAAATAAAAGACGATGTGACCACTTTACATAATGCTCATTACTCATTGTAAAAGGCCGATCTCCGGCACTGTCAAACTGCTGGCTGTGAGCACAGTCACAGCTGCTCTTCCTTGGCATTAATGGGTGTAGCTTCAGCTAATACAGCTGTTCCAAATTGTAATGTGACTTGTTAAATTGACCAGCTGTAGCACTTCCTGGAATCTGCAGCCCTTCTAAGACAAATGTGCTTAAGTGTACACTTAGAGCTACTTCAGGACTAAAGACTGTATTTAAAGTTGGATGTGGATTCAGGGCCTAAACAAAAAAAGGTGCTAAGAAGTGCCTTATCTGCATTATTTTTAATGACCAGCAGGGGGACATTCCTCATTTTCCATCAAACTCTGCTGCTTTTGTCTCTCTTATGATCTCTTTAAACATATTTCTAAAAAGCTTAGGATTTCAATCAGTAGTTTGAAGTCTTTCTTGTTTATTTTTTATTTTTATTTTTTTATTGTAATCAATAAAACGTAGTAGACGCCTCTCACTATAGCGTTACCCACACCCACACTCAGGCTTCATGACAACGGTTTATCCTTCCACCAGCAGGAACTAACATACCTGAGCTTCAGCAAACACACAGATATTGGCGGTGGGTTCAGGGGAGTAATCGTCTTTCCCGTCTGTTAGTATGGTGCCATACAGGAAGGCCAGATCATCGCTGGCTGGATGATGCAACTTCACCTAAAGGATAATAAGAATAAGGTAGAAAAAGAAATCAGTTCACACTGTGGAATATGGTTGGGAGCATCGTGTCCAGATACTTTTGGGTGACATCAAGCTGAGAGGTCATGTAATGCTCAGATTTTTTGCTATAAGCTCTACAGGCATGCACTGCATCCCATATAAGTACTACCAGATGTTTCTTGTGCCCTCTAAAAATATCCTGTGCATACATTTGAGCCATAATTTGACAACACCCTAAAAGCAGATGTAATGAATAAAAAAAGAAGCTGCCAATTCAAAGCAGCTCTATATAAGATCAGGCCTACTTTTTCCCCTTTTTAAATTAAAGTATGGATTATTTAGACTTTTAGATTACTAGAAATTTAGCAAGTGATATTCTCACTGTCTGTGTAATAATGCTCTTTTTTTTAATTTCCTGTCAGCTGATCACCTGAGATTTGACAGCTCTGGTCACAGCTGTGGCTGCGTCGACAAGATCGCGAGTCCTGGACTTGGACACATCCAGACCAAACCTCTGGGCATTCACAAAGGCATAAAAGGCTCCTCCGTAGCTGATGTCAACCGTTACTTCACCAAACCCCTCCACCAACACTGTCACATCTGGTAAAAAATATTGAATTAGTCCTGGAGAACATTCAAATACCTGAGAACTATTACAGTCGTTTGTGCTACCTGTAGCAAATGCAAACGCTGGCACGCTGAGAAACCTCACTCCTCCTGTTTTCCCCTCAGAGTACTCAACAAAGGCCTTCACCAGGCCACAGGGACAGTGGATGTTCACTTGTGTCTCTGGCGACTTCGGCTCTTTCACTAGTTTGTAGTCCACAGCGAAGCGTCCCAGTGCGATGACGGCGTGGCCGCACATGGTGCTGTAGCCCTCGTTGTGCATGAACAGCACCGCCAGGTCGGCCTCGGGTAACTCGCTGTCCACGATCAGGGCCCCGTACATGTCGTAGTGTCCTCGCGGTTCATACATCAGCACCCTCCTGAGGTGGTCCAGATGTTCCCGGACGTAGCGACGTTTGGAAAGCACGCTGTCGCCTTTGACCTCTGGGTAGCCACTGAGGATGATCCGCAAAGGCTCTCCACCCGTGTGCATGTCGACCACAGACAGCTCGCCTCCCTCGTGAGGTGGAAGCTGCATTTCCATCTCAGCGCTGATCTCAGAAATCAAAACAATCCCTTGGGTTATAAACTCATTTATATTTTAATACACCTTTTTTTAAATGTAAACACTTGCATGGGAAAACTTTTGAGTCTGCCAGCAAGCTTTGTTTGGAAAATTATCCCTCAAATCAAAACATACATATGGAGCATCGGTAACAAATACATTTAAAACGATTTATAGCTCGGTGTCTGTGTCGCGTGTTTAGTTTATGAATGCTAAATTCTGCTTGAAGCCAAATTTGCTGAGTGATAATTCATCTGTAACATTGAGGCCACAAGATCAGCTAAAAAAGTAGGACCTTTTTCAGTTGATACCAGCTTGAAAATGAGCTTGAAAGTTAATATTTGGTATGACCGTCTTTATTCTTCAACACATCCTGAATTCTCTTAAACAACCTTTCTTGTCATTTCTTTAGGTAGACTTCAGGAATAGTTCTCCAGGCTTTTTGAAGGACATTCAAAGCTCTTCTTTCGTTCTTTGTGTCCGGGGATGAGCGTCCCAGTACGCACCGGCTCACTCCTGGTGGCTGCTTGTCGGGGCCTGGAGCCTGGGGCTCGCTCGGGCCCCT